GAAGAGGTAAGGAAGGGAAAAAAATAGGTTAGTGTGGTAAAAAGAACAGAATGGAGGATGAAGGGAAAGGGGGAAGAAAAGGGGAGGAAAAGAGGAAAAGAGTGAGAACGAAGGATGACGGAAGTAGTGAAAGGTGCAAAAAAAAGGTTAGGACCGAGGAAAGAGGGGAAAATAAAAAAGGATGAGGGTTGTAAAAGAAAGGAAGGGAGAAGAATAAAAGGAGTGAAAGGAAAGGAAGAGGAAATTAAGGAAAAAGACAAGAAGAAGGAGGAAAAGTGGAGGTTGAGTGAAGGGAAGGAGGGAGAAAGGAAAAGCTGAAAACCTCTGTGTAATGACAAGCTACTGTCTTTACCCCATTTATCTTCTACTTTTCACAGATTTCTTTCCCTGGGAAAATACAAACCTAAGACTTTAGTTTTGATAAATGGGTTATCCTGCAGGGTACACCGTCGTACTGCAAATATTTCAGAGTAAAACTTCTGCAAAAACATTTAGGAAAAGAAAAACTTTTAAAGTTTTACAATATGAAATGCTTCGAACTTTAAATTTAGATATCTATATATAGATATAATAAAGCTCTTCGCTTTAGTTGTCCAAACGGCTGGACCAAATTAGTTGAAACTTTTTAAGGGAACCCAAGGAGAACCCGGGGTGACAATTTTGATTGGATTTTTCTGAAATTCCAAGAGAACGCTGTACACTACTCGTCTAATCCGGACCGAGCCCTAAAACTCGTTTATGCAGTGCAGGCATATTTTTTAATATTCATGTACTAATCCTGTATTCGGGTTGTAACGAAACATAGATTAATGTGACCATTTTTTTCTTTAAGATTGATATAGCAATACATTATTACATACATACCAAGACACCCAACCACAACAAACAGGGACATTTAAGAGCGAATTGAGAGATTCAAACTGCATCCTTTGATATTTGTAATAGCAGACATTTTTTCAATTATATAATAAAAAATTAGATTTTTAAATGTTTTTGTATTTATTCCTGGAGTTGAGTTTAGGAGTTTAAGTTTTTAAGTGTTGAACTGTTGAAGTTTTAAAGTGTTGAAGTGTTGAACAGTTGAAGTGTTGAAGTGTTGAAGTGTTGAAGTGTTGAAGTGTTGAAGTGTTGAAGTGTTGAAGTGTTCAAGTGTTCAAGTGTTGAAGTTTTGGAGTTTTCAATAAAATAAGATTAATAATTTTTTATGTCTGGTTCAGTAGTTAAAATTTCCGGAAATTCATGAGAATTGCACTCGATATTAAGGACTTAAATTCGATTTGTTCCTAGTCCTTGGTTCTTACAAGGCAATTTAGGTTGCGGCCCTAACTCTTAAAATCAAGCGCCATATTTTCTGTAATTCGACGAGATGATACTCTATACATCTATAGTCATTTATAATAATGCATGATTTGATAAGAAACGTACATTATGCTGTGACGTTTTTGGACTGCTGAACAACAACTAGTTTTTGGACTGCTGAACAACAACTAGTTTTTGGACTGCTGAACAACAACTAGTTTTTGGACTGCTGAACAACAACTAGTTTTTGGACTGCTGAACAACAACTAGTTTCTAATGGCTGAACAAGTTAATTTATTGCTTCAATAGTTCATTATATTAAGATTTTAGATTAGAATGTGTACAGTGTACAGTGTACATGTGCTATATAGGAATGTTAAGTACATTTAGATATTCATAGTGCACCTGCTTATCAGAGATCATACGAGGGGTAATTTAAACTTGAAAATCAGAACCTTAATAATTTACTGTTGTTCTTTGTTTTACAATTGGATTATAAAGATGACTGACAGATGAAGAAGATATGTGCCATTGTATTGCATTGAACTGTTGTACAAAGCATTGTATGAAACAAGGTGTATAGAATACAAGGGGGGGGGACGATGGGATTTCCTTATACTTTGCTGTGACTGCTGAAGAACTAGTTCCTGCGTAACAACAATAATAAAGATTGTAAACAATAAAACAAATAATAAACAAACATCTAGCATCTCTTGCATTTGTTTACATTGGATCGACTGCCTTTGCTATTGTTTTTACGCAGAATTACTAGTTCTTCAGCAGTGCAAAAACGTCACAGCAAAGTGTACGTAAATCCCATCGCCCACTCCTTGTATTCTATATTTCCTTGGTTTAAAATATGTTTTTGTTTTCATTCCTTCTAAGTCCTTACCTCCCACCCTATAATAACTCTTAGATATAGGAGGAGTTCTCGTCATAAAACTGTTTACAGGCCACTGGACAGGTGACAAGAAAACAGAGAGATAGGTAGACACTAGAAAGACAGGTAGACAGGTAGACAGGTAGACAGGTAGACAGGTAGACAGGTAGACAGGTAGACAAGTAGTAAGGTAAGCAGGTAAACAGGTAAAAAATAGACAGGTAGACAGGTAGACAAATAGACATGCATACAAAAAATAGCTAAACAAATAGACAGGTAGACAAATAAGCAGGTATGCAAATAGACCGGTAGACAAGTAGACAGGTTGACATAATCACCCAAAAACTATTGCAATACATGGATAAAGAATAAAAAGTTCTTTGAGTAAGAAATGATGTTAATACTTAAAAGATCTAGGATCTAAGATCTAGGATCGAAGATCTAGGATTTAAGATCTAGGATCTAAGATCTAGGATCTAAGATCTAGGATCTAAGATCTAGGATCTAAGATCTAGGATCTAGGATCTCAGATCTAGGATCTAAGATCTAGGATCTAGGATCTAGGATCTAAGATCTTGGATCTAGAATCTAAGATCTAGGATCTAGAATCTAGAATGTTCTAGAAGATTTATGGGATTCTATTTTGACAGTTTTAATGTGTAAAGGGAGGGGATTATGTAGAGTTAAACCAGAGAATATGTATGCACACCTTACTCTAAAATTAACATATTTATTATTCAAAATCCACACAATTCCTCTTTTTCCCTTTCCTGTTTCCGCTGGTCCCTTTATTCCACAAGAATGTTATAAAGATTCCCCCCCCCCTGACTGGCCTTTATTAAAGTTTTGTATCACTGCATGTTTTTTCTGTACTGATCTATTTTTGAAAAGTTGCTCCTTACTGTTGTATGATTAATGATTACTAGGCTTCTAGGACCCCTGCTTACATAGATTCGGTACAGGATGTACCGATAAACATGGGAGTTAAGAGACAAATTGGAAATTAGCGTTGTAACTTGTACTTCCTAATTTCAATGATAAAAAAGTTACGCCTGCTAAGGGGAGTACGAGGGGGGCAAACCCCTCCGGCCCCCCTTACGCGTGCCCCCTCAAAGGGGAGACTCATGGGGGGGGGGGGTTAATATTACATCTTTCTCAGGCAATCTACATTCTACATTGCATTGCATTGCATTCACCCAAACTAAAATATTAAGAAAAAAAATTAAAATATATTCTAATTTACAACAATACCATTCAAAGCTTTGTCTGATCAAGTATTGCATTAAACATCCATGTTTCCCATTTTGAAAACTGAATATCTTTATTTGTGGTTTCTCTTCAATAGTGACTCACGCATTTTTTGCTTCAGAATCAATGGAGAAATGAAGGTTTCAAAGGTACATCGGACATGCCACTCCATAAATGGAGGGTCACTTAAAATTAAGCATGTATTCCATTTAAGTATAATTACATCGTATAGAAAAAATACTTTAAATCTCACTTTTGCCCTTAATTAAAAAAGTTTCATTAAAAATAGTGACTCACGCATTTTTTGCTTCAGAATCAATGGAGAAATGAAGGTTTCAAAGGTACATCGGACATGCCACTCCATAAATGGAGGGTCACTTGAAATTAAGCATGTATTCCATTTAAGTATAATTACATCGTATAGAAAAAATACTTTAAATCTCACTTTTGCCCTTAATTAAAAAAGTTTCATTAAAAAAGCTTTAATCATTACTGCCTTCAGTGTAAATGATATCATTATTTATAATTATACAATATATATCGTTTCTTTGAAAATATAGATATTTTTTAAGAAACGTTTCCATCTCTATTTTTCACTCATTGAAGCTTACGCCACAATATTAAGAGTAAGTGTCTGATGAGTCCACTTAAGAAAATTACCTAAATACTATATTAACACTTGTTATATGGAAGTGTGTATATGATCGAATAGTTTACAGAGTTAAAAAAGGTATCATTATTTTTCCAAAAAAGAGGTTTTTAGGGGGGGGCACAATGTTGCCGAGGAGGGAGGGCACAAAAAAGTGCCCCCCCCCCTACACAAATGCACTCGTACGCCCCTGCGCCTGCTAGAGTTTATTTGTTTTAAACGGTAAAAGACTGTTATTATTATTTTTATTGTATTAGTGTAAAGTTTACGCATTCTACGCATATTTATCCATCTATCCAGATGACTAAGGAAAGCTGAGAAGAAAGTTCTAGCTTTCAGAATCAGATTTCTGTCAGTTCTCACGAGTTATTCCCATCACATTGCTTTTAGAAACTTGAGCATTTAGATCAAATACATCCTGCATCAACACCAACTTAATTTTAAACAGAAACAATCAATCCTAGAACCTAGATCTTGGTACCTAACCTAACTGTCAAGGTACGAGTGTAGAAACTCCTGTACAAGCTGATAATTCCTTCCTCCTTGCTCAGTTAGGGTTTATGGGCTCTGTTGTGAATCGAACAAACGTTACTTAAAAATTCCACCTACATTCCATTAAGTGAAATTGGTCTGTGTTTACCTCACAATGTTTGTAATATTTTCATTCAAAATCCACTGTTTTATATGTACCATTGGATTAGTTTTAAAGCTTGCTACTCCTCTATTAAGATCTATCTTTCTATCTAGGTAGCTTTATTTAAAGAACTAGAAATTCAAGGCGCTTCGCGCCCTTCTTTCTAGCCTTAGAGGGCGCTTCGCGCTCATCTTCTAGGGGGGGGGGGTTTTAATGTTAATGGTTGACAATCTGATATGTAATAGAGGTTTCTTTATTATTTTATAAACAATTGTTTTAATCAAATTTTGGGATAATAAAAATCCCTGAAAATTTATACAAAGAATTCGCAAAAAAATGAAAAATCACAAATTGACTCAGTACAGTCTTAAGCGTATCGAAGGCAATAAAGATTAATTGAAATAATGATCTTTTATAGAGATTAAAATGAAACTTTACCAACGACTAAAAATAAACAAAACGCCATAAATAAATAGAGGAGACAGAAGAGTTCCATAGTGAAAACTCGGAAAACGTCAAAATGAAAAACATATCAAAACAAATAGGTAAATATATTACGAATATATATTGAACATTGATATTTATTAAAACCGATTTTCAAACAGAGACCTTTCAAACAACATTAGTTCTAATTTGGTATTTTTGGTATTTTTGTTTATACCTGTTTTTATTTTTAGTTGTTCTGCACCGAAAACATCTACGATTGCATGTTAAAAGTATGTGCACTGGGAGCACTAGTCTAGAAGTAAGTAGAATTTTTAATTGCGCGTTTTGTGTGCGTGCAGACTTCACATAATTTTGAAATGTAAGCTAAGGGTGGGCGGGGTTCATTCTTTGGCCAAAAGTTAAATATTTGTTTATAAGGGACTGTAAGCGTAATTTCAAGTAAATGCTTACAGACTCTGTAAGCCGATTCTAGTTTGGGATTTTTTACATGATGTAATCATGGTTTCCAAAGCCTTAATATTAATAGAATATAAAACAACTTTTTAAGCCAAAAACTAAAATATTAAACAAGTCCGCCATGACAGTTCTAATTCAAATAATCAAACAGTAGACAAAATTTTTGAGCAACCAAATCACGGGCATGCAATATACTGTTTAGAGAGAAACTTATATTTTGTTTTTATTCAGAACGCGTGCAGTTTTAATTTTTTTTTACTTAAGAGAATTCCAAATATATTTTTCAATATTTTATTTAGAATCCTGTTGCTCCAACACGAAGGTTTCCAGAATTGGGAAACACCCTGTTTAAACAGCCTTCTCTACTATAATTANAAATTAAAATGAGTTAAATTGGAATTTTCAAAAAATATCAAGCATTTTCTGTCGATTAAAAAAGATGGTTTCGGGGAATATTACCTTCTCATAAATTAGTTTCTAATTGTATGATTTTTATTTTTTGTTGTCTGAATGTTTTCGATAAGGAAACAATTTGTGATAAATAAATTCTTGTTTTAATGTATTTTCTTATCAGTAATCTTTTAACATAATGACTTAGGGCTGGGCACGTTAGTGCTTTTTTAGTCGGTTCGTTACAGTGAGTTAAAATCACGAAGTGGGAAGGCCAATTATGATTAATAATGAAATACATACGCTTTCGTTCAGGTTGAACGAAAAAAATGTACGACATTTTTAATTTACTAAATTGAATATTTGTAGTTCTTTCTGCTCGTCATTTTCCGTTTAGAACTTTGCACAGCCCTGCCCCTTATATCTATGTATGGTAAACAATTGTCAAAATAAAATTTCCTTCCAATAAAGAACTGGCTTATGAAATCCCTCCAGTGGTCTACAGTAGAATCTAAATATTACTACGAACTTCTTTGAGTCTCTCTAGTTACATTACAGTATATAGAATTAGATTGCTGATAAATTTAACTGACCCGAGATCACAATCAATTCATCTAAATTTCTAAATTTATCAGATCTCAGAACAAAATTAAATGCTCCCGTCAAATTAAAATTTTTGAATAGAAACTTTGCTAACAAAAGGGAAAATAATCAAATATCCATGAATTGACGTGAGCAGATTTAATATTCAACATACTTAATTTTTCTTTCCTTTCACCCAACAACATCTTAAAGGGAGTGACCGGCAATGTATGGTAGTTGAACTGGGAATGTAGTATTGTGGAGAATTTTTTTAGGAATCATTTGAGACCTATGGGACCTTTTTTACGGTGCATATTTGTTCAGCAAGGGCGCAAATTCAATCTTTAAAACCCTCTTAGATTGTAAATTTTTTAGGGATTATTTTGAGAATCGGTTTTTTAAAACTTATTCTTTAACAACGACGAAAAATGAAGCACAAATTTTACAGTAAACTAATTAGTTGTTTAGAAACAGGTTGAGAAAATAAAAATTAAATATTATCATCGAAAATAAGTATTTATTTAAAGGTTTCTGTAATGTCTCATTGTTCTAAAACATTTTCTGTAGATTTCCTGGAATTTTCATTGAAAGAAGACATTTAAAGAATTTGAAGAAATCTTCGAAGAAATTCATAAAGAAAAAGAAATTCAATATAATGACGAAAAAGAAATAATTGATTCTAACATTGATTTATTAAGAAAATTTCAATTGAGAAATATGATCCTAAACATCTAATAATTTTACTGTAAAATTTATTTTAGATTTTTGTCGTCGTTATCAAATAATTAAAAAAATTCGATTCTGAAAACGTATCCACCCAAATGGATGATTTTGAATGTCGACTTTGCACTCAAACTCAGTGGTTCTACAGAATTAAAACGTATTATATGTCTCAAATGAATCCTTAAAAATTTCTCCATAATACTACATTCTCAGTTTTACAAAATATTTGTTTTCTATTTTATTTTATTTTATTTATTCATATCAATGCTACGCTCTCAAAAAAGTCTGAATTCCTTTACGAAAAAATGTAATTAACCTTATCTTACTGGACACATACTTTACACCTTTTTTACACAAAAGTACTATTCTTATGCAGGACAATATATCTAGATGTATGAACAGATTTTAACAACCATTTTTAAAAGATGTTGGGGCGCTGTTAGCCCGCCAAAGTATTGGTTTGGTTTCTGATTGGTCCTTAAAATACCCATTTTAAGAGTTTTTACGGAAATTACTAGTTTAATTTTTTCTCGAATTTTATGTTAGAAGGTTTTATTTATAATTCACTAAAATTTAATGTGCATTTCCCGAACAAGTTTTTAAAGGTGAATCAGGCATATATCTTTATATTGGACACTATTACGTGGGCAGTCCTGTTAGACATTGAATTATGTGTACCGTCCCTTTATGCATTGATTCCCATGGAATGAGAAATAGTTTTTGTTTTTATTAAAACATCCGAATTTTACCATATAAAGTTTCACAATTTGAATATAATCTTGGTAATTATCATTTCTCTCTCCTGCCTTTAAAGCATATACCAAATATTCTTGCGTTTTATAACCATTATTCATGTCTACGATAGCAATATATCTTATTATCCCCCCTCCCGCATAATTGATGTTTTGTCCCTGAATTCTTTGTTTTGATCTCCTCCCACTGCAGTACACAGATTTGACGCCTCAGATATGGCGGTTCCTGGTCTATATATTTCTTGGATACATCTATTTTAGAGCTATTTTAGCAATAAACTTTATCTTATCTTATCTTTTCTATCTATGCCAAACATATCTGATGCACTCTTACACATAATTGGATTCGAAGGTGAAGTTGGAAATAAATTAGGAAGAAATGGTTTTAGTTTGTTTTCACCCATCATCACGATCAGACATTCAACACACATACGTCGTACAGAACTAGAATATATAAACAATATATATATCTACTAGAATATACATAACAAGAATATTTATATACAAGAATATGTATATATAAAATATGTATATACAAGAATATGTATATACAATAATATGTATATACAAGAATATCTATATACAAGAATATCTATATACAAGAATATGTATATACAAGAATATCTATATACAAGAATATGTATATACAATAATATGTATATACAAGAATATGTATATACAATAATATGTATATACAAGAATATGCATATACAATTATATGTATATATAAGAATATCTATATAGACAAGAATATGTATATTCAAGAATATCTATATACAAGAATATCTATATAGACAAGAATATCTATATAGACAAGAATATTTATATACAAGAATAGGTATATACAAGAATATGTATATACAAGAATGTTTATATACAAGAATATCTATATACAAGAATATTTATATACAAGAATATGTATATACAAGAATATTTATATACAAGAATAAATATATATACAAGAATATGTATATACAAGAATATCTATATACAAGAATATGTATATACAAGAATATGTATATACAATAATATGTATATACAAGAATATCTATATACAAGAATATGTATATACAAGAATATATATATACAAGAATATCTATATAGACAAGAATGATACGAATAGAAGAACCTGAATTATATTCCACTGAATCCTCTCCACAAGCTTTCGATTCAGTGGAGTCTTCTAAAAGACACTCAGTACTTCTAAAAAATGGTCTACATACCAGAGGAAATCCTTTGAACGGGCATCCTTCCACTGGTATACGGTCTCCAGGGTTCCCGGCTCCACCTCTCAACTCCTGTTCTCCTTCAAGAGGTTCACCATCAACCCAGTCTTCTCCTGGTCCTACTCCTATATCCTTCAGGAGTTCAGATTTGTCTAGTTCCAAGAGATCAAGTAGCTCCGCTAGTTCCACTAACTCCAGGAGCTCTTCTCCTTCCAGTGAAGCTGTATTGAACAGTTCAACCAGTATTCCGTCAGCTCAGGAACTCATCAATGCAATCCGTCTACTTAATAACAACAGAAAACAAGGGTATACATTAGAATTATTGCGCGTTTATATTTGATACTAGGTATTCTCGAAAGAAGAAAAAGGGGTGGGTCGACGACTTATTTTTGATTTTAATTTTTAGTAAGTAATTTTTACTTATTAAGTAATTTTAATTCATTAGTAACGTAAGTCGCCTCTGTAAAATTGGAACTGACAAAAACCTGCCAAACTAAAAATTTGTTCATATCAATCCTAAACACTGAACTCTCCATTAATTAAGCAAGAATATATTTTCTTTGAAGGGAAAGCACTTTTGTGGAAGAGAATCGAGTCTTTGCCACAAACTCAGATTTTTTATTCCATATATATTTGCAAACAGGGAAAACTTATTTAACCCATATCTTACTTAGGGAACTCATATGACCGGCATGATAAAAATTTACTTCACAAAAAAAAGCATTTTCTCTTCTTTTAAAATGTAATCGAAAAATCTGCGATTTTTATTTATCTGCGATAAAATATGTACATTGAAATTTTCTTTTCTCAAAGGTTTCAACCATGACAATAGAATATCAATAGCGTATTGAATATTCCTATACGCCTGCAATAGTGACATTATACTAAAGTAAGAATGATTACTTGAATTAAATATCTTTAAAAAAGCTGAAAAATGATGGCCGCGAGGTAAGGACTGGTTGCACTGCATGCAGCGTAAGGAAAACATTATCATGTTGCAAATCTATCCTTGTTGTTGATCAGACTGTTTACTATCTGAAGAACTGGTTTGGTGCAGACAAATCATTTCAAAATATAAGAAGAGAGTTCCCTGCTCAAGGGTTAGTATAGAATCCGAACCCCGGAGCTCCTGATATCTGAAAATGTCTGAGATTCCTGATTTTCTTGACGATATTCTTGAAATCAAGTGGGTGAATTAGAATGTATAATAAGGGATTGTTTGATGCATGCTTAGGGGTCTTTTAGAGTTAATTGATTTTTGGATATTAAAGGGACAGTAAAGGAAAAATGAAAGGGGGTATAGGCTGAAAGCTAATCACTTTAGCTCTTGATCGCGACCCATGAAAGTTTTATCTGAATTGGTTGCTTATTTGCTGAATATGATCTGTTTAAACCTACTACTTTTATACAAAATTGTATATATATTAATTTTCGTTTATATTTGACACAGTTTTATATAAATTTCTCGAGACAGGAACATCAGAGATGACTTTCATGGGTCGCGATCAAGAGCTAAAGTGATTAGCTTTCAGCCTATACCCCCTTTAATTTTTCCTTTACTGTCCCTTTAAGGATACTTTTTCCTAAATATGTATTTTGCAAAATCTTTACAGAATTAACATAACTTTAATTGTCAACTGAACAGGAGGAAGTAACAACAGATTAATTACTATACAATCATACCCAGTTTTAACCGCCTATTATAGATGTTTAATCGCACTTTACTGGGAAGTTAAAAGGAGAGACCGGCTAGACATGGTAGTTGAGCTGAGAATCCAGTATTGTAGAGAATTTAGGACTCATTTGATCCAATGGTGTACAATTTTCTAACAAGTGCGTAAAGTCGTTTGTAAAATTTCACCTTAAGGGTTGGTCGGCAGAGGAAACATTTTTAAACAAGTAGTTAATAACCCGGAAGAAAAACGTAACACTATTTTTTATTAACAAATTTGTTGTTTGGGAACAAGTTGAGAAAATTAAACTAACTCTTACCATCGAAAATGGGTCATAATATTCAATAATCTGTTACTGAAATGTTTGTTTTGTTTCAAAACGTTTTCCGTAGATTCCTTTGGAAAATTTTTGTGAAGACGACATTTCAAGAGACCTGCATACAACATGTTTCAATTTTAAAGAATAAAAAATGAGAATAAAGAAATAATTAATTCTACCATGTGATTTCATCACGCATATCTTTTTATTAATATGTCCCTAAACAACACACTAGTTTACAGACAAATTTTGTTACGTTTTCTTCTGGTTATTAAATAATTGAAAAAAAACTCTTCTTGTGCAGTCCGCAGTCCAACCCATCTGGTGAAATTTTACAAGCGATTTAATCCTCTTCAGAAGAAATTTTGCACCGTAAAAACGTCTTATTGGTATCAAATGAATCCTAAAATTGTTTCTGATAATACTGTACTCTCGGTTAGAATACATAACCTGGTCAGTTTCTCCCTTTAAGGGAATTTTACTTTACTAGGAGGGTTCTCAAGGTACTAGGAGGGTCCTCAAGGTACTAGGAGGGTTCTCAAGGTACTAGGAGGGTCCTCAAGGTACTAGGAGGGTCCTAAAGGTACTAGGAGGGTCCTCAAGGTACTAGGAGGGTCCTCAAGGTACTAGGAGGGTTCTCAAGGTACTAGGAGGGTTTCTCAAGGTACTAGGAGGGTCCTCAAGGTACTAGGAGGGTTCTTAAGGTACTAGGAGGGTTCTCAAGGTACTAGGAGGTTCTCAAGATACTAGGAGGGTCCTCAAGGTACTAGGAGGGTTCTCAAGGTACTAGGAGGGTTCTCAAGGTACTAGGAGGGTTCTCAAGGTACTAGGAGGGTTCTCAAGGTACTAGGAGGGTTCTCAAGGTACTAGGAGGGTCCTCAAGGTACTAGGAGGGTCCTCAAGGTACTAGGAGGGTCCTCAAGGCCAATTTTCCCCAAAAAATTCTTTTCTGGCACAATTGGTTCGCTGGAACCCGTGGTTAAGTAAAAATTTTGATTTCCCGTAAAAGTACTGTGATGAAAATGTGTAATTTTTTTTCTAAAAACTTTTCTCAGGTGGATACTATTTTACTTAATTGTTCCAAGGGACAGATGTGTTTTACTTAACATCTCGGTCTTGCTGGAATCATGGGTCGTAATCATGGTCAAATGGTGGTAAAAAAATGTATCTTTCAGATTTGGAAAAACTTTTGAAAACTACGCTAAAAACAAAATCCAAAGAAAACTTTAAACCATGTACATTATATATGAAATTTTTTCCTATTCTGTATTGTAGTTTGGATTGAAAATAGTCCGAATGTGTACTGCTACAATAGATAGAATGACCAGGATAAATGCATCATAAATGCATTTAAATTATCTTCAATGCAGTTGCCAATAGTTGCATTGTTTAATATATATAGATGAACTGCAAAGTGCAAAATCACTGAAAAGTGTAAAAGTGTGAAGATTAATGATGTTGCTTGGTGCTCCAGGTGTCTGAAAAATGTTCAAAGTTTGAGATAAAATCTATATAAGATAATCCAATTCCAAAAAAAAGTAAATTCAAGAATTAATTATTCCTTTGGATAAAAATTCCAATTAGAATTCAATAAATAATTTTTTTTGGGGACACACAGAAGACACATATTTACTCGTTGCAAAATATTTTCTTTGAAAACAGAAGAACGAATTGCAAGTTGGTATTCACCATTCAGTGAATTTTTTAAAAATAACAATAATTAACTTTATACTTTAAACTATAGAGGCCGGGAAGATACTAGAGGTTAAAGGGAGTGTTTGCGAAAAATAAAAGAATGTATAGGCCTACGTCGAAAAATATTATATGGTGATTGCTACTAATTTTAAAATCTATCTGTTGCGTCTATAAGGAAAAAATTGTTCAAAATTTATATATGATGCTATCGATGTTTCTGCTTGGTTTCAAGTGGCAGAGACACCTAGCGGACAAAAAATCGTCGGTTTAAGTGTATTTTATATAAAAAATAAAAAAATTAAAGTTTTAACTTTATACGAATGTGTCGAAAAAAATCGATGACGTTAGGATTTAATATCTGAATTATTTGTTTGGAAAAAAATGATATTTTACGATCCCAGTCCCAATGTTGCAACTTCTGAATTTGTTCATTTTTCGCGAACACTCCCTTTAGAAGGGAGTTATGGAGTTTCGAGGTCATAATAAAAGTACGTGAGATTTTTAATGAAAAAATTGTTAATGAGATCATAGTGATGGATGCTTGTGGCCGGAAGAACAAGTTAGTAAATTAGTTAGATTTAACAGGGTCATCTTGCAAAGTTGTGAACGTTGGCCGGTCAGCTTCTAGAATTAAGTTTATTACGTTTAGAGCAGAGAATAACAGGTTATGTTCAAATCTACAATTTATTTACACTTTTCAGAGCTAAATAATTAATTTAATAGATTATAAAACCTATTTTATGGATGCAATGCTGTGCTCACTCCCAACCTTTCCAGAGATTCAACAGTATATTTTCTTAAAGCAGATTCTAATAGATTAGTAGATCTTTGGTTGCACAAGGAGACGTACAGATAGAACCATGCTGAACTTGATATTTGAGTAATTAATAATTATATTCTAACAATATAATCATGATTTCATAATTAACTATATAACTATACCATTGATATTCACATCATATATCTATATGAAGATACAGATAGAAACAAAAATCTCTTCTATCAATTATTCTAACTAATTGTCTCATGTCTCCATCTTTGTATCTACAAACATTTTTGTATCTCTAGGTCCCTTGAATTATTAGCCTATCTGGAAACATGCAACCCAAGTACTTATAGTTCTTCAGAAGTTAGGTTCAATTTCTGCTCATATTCGATTTTTTTTTTTTTGTAAATAGTCTCAGTTTTGTAAATAGTCTCAGTTTTGTAAATAGTCTCAGTTTTGTAAATAGTCTCAGTTTTGTAAATAGTCTCAGTTTTGTAAATAGTCTCAGTTTTGTAAATAGTCTCAGTTTTGTAAATAGTCTCAGTTTTGTAAATAGTCTCAGTTTTGTAAATAGTCTCAGTTTTGTAAATAGTCTCAGTTTTGTAAATAGTCTCAGTTTTGTAAATAGTCTCAGTTTTGTAAATAGTCTCAGTTTTGTAAATAGTCTCAGTTTTGTAAATAGTCTCAGTTTTGTAAATAGTCTCAGNACCGGTCAATTGTTAGGTTTGGTCTAAATTCAGGGTTTAATTTTAACAACCTTAAAATGTTCATCTTTGTCCCTTTTTAGATAAGCTATAGTCTAAAATATGAAAAACTCATATTTTTAGTAGAACTAGTGGTTTAGAGAAAAGGATAAATGTTTTATCAATTTTATTCTTTTGCATGAAGTATCCATCGAGATAAAGAGTTTAAAGAAAGAATATTTGTGCTTGTGATTAATTTACAAAAATCTTTAAAATCTTGAAATTTTTTAATTATTCTTTTTGAAAATATAAAGAGTATATTAATAATTTTAGTTTTACGCTACATATCTACTTGAAAATGTTCTCACTCGTTGATCTTTCAATTGGTAGAATTTTCTCTTAATTCTTGATTTACAGAAAAAGTTAATTTCTAATATACTTTTTACCTATGAGTTAGTTTAGACCTTGTATGTACAATGTACAACTTTCCAATGAATATTTTTGATTTATCTTATCCTAATTATAGCTTACTTTAGATAGTCTTTTTCTAGCTGTAGGTTTAATATCAATAATTTTTCTTTTAAGCATAACAATTCAATATTAGATCGAGTTATTTCGTCAAAAAACCCCAGTTGTTATTTTTAGATTGTGTATTGTATCATGCAGAGTTTATCCAAAAAAAGTTAAACTGAAAATACAATGTTGAAATTGTTTCTCATAAATTTTTTTTTTTTTATCCGAAAACTTAAACATTTTGCCTCACAATTTATTAGCGTTTACAAGATGACGATTAATGCCTAAATTCTTAATAAATATTGTCGGTAAAGCGATCTTGTTTGTTGTTAAAAGACTGTAAATGATTTGTGTATGGTTTATTTGGCAGAAAAAGTTGGAAGAGATTTTTTGTTTGAAAATCAGAGCGTAGTATAAAGAAACTAATTGTCTAGAACTATAAAAAGGAAAGTTGTTAAATCTAAAGATATTTAATATTCTAGGAACAGTGATGGAAAGGGTATTGCGGAAACTATGTTCAACCTCTACAGGAAATATATTCATATTCCACAATACTTTAATTTATTAAGAGAAATAGTTCATAAAGAAACTTGCCCCAACCTCTCTTATCCTTATATCTTCGTCACCTGATGGTGTATTGATATTTGAAATTTGGCTGTTTGATCTAGACGAATTCATAGCTTGAAATATTAAAGTTCTACGACATCGGTTTGCAAAGATATAGGGATGTACAAATCAGAGTTTAAGTGTTTTGGTTTTCAAAGTAAATTTTCTACAATAAATATCAAAAGGTTTTATGAAAGTTTTCAAAAAAACTTCAAAAAGCGTGTTTATTTTTTTAAAGTCAAAACCAGTTGAGTTTCTTTGGAAACCTGAAACCTAAATACTAAATACTGAAGCCCCCTTTTTAAGATTTGAATTTAAGATTAAAGTTTGCTGAGTTGGGTAGCCATGGTTGGAAGGGGGGGGGGTGTCAGTATCGAGATTTTGATAGACAATATTTATTGTAATAGTCTCGAGCTGTCCTAGAAAATGCATTTATGCTTGATGCAATTAAATTATTTCTGAATCGACACATTGCAACAACTTGCATTTAATTGAACATAACAGGAGAATGCACAAATGCATAATATCTTTCAATAATAAATGATTTATCAGTTTATGGGCGGTAACTGAGAGGGGGGGGGGAGAAGCATTATATTTAATATAATGCGCATACTGAATTCTAAGATATTTTCCTTCGAAGACAGAACACTATCACATTCACTTGAAAAAGGATGTAAGACTTTGCCACAAACTCAAATTTTCTAATCCCTATATCTTTTCACCCTGATGGTGTAAACCTTTAATATTTCAAACTTAAATTATTTATCTAATAAAATTCACAGTTTATAATAACTAAGGTCTACGACAAAGATAAGGGTTTGTAAATCAGAGTTTAAGGCAAAGACTCAAATCCTTTGAGAATCAAGCATTCGAAATCTCGTTCTATTAATTGTGTTTTATGAAAACTTGTTGTTTTATATCTGAATATAATGAATTGAAAATATAGGAATCCGGAGACTAATACAGTTAACCTTGGTCAACTCTTCACGGTAAACAGAATTTTTTAAAATTAAATCTGTAATTTTTAAACATGGGATTTGAAATTTTATTTATGAAAGTATATTTAAAATTTGTGAGAGTAGGAATATTCTCATGAGATTTTAAAGAAAAATTAGCTGATTGAAGCTTTTCGATTAAAAGAAATTCAGTTTTGATTTAAACTTTTTTAACAAACCTGTTTTTCATGAAGCCTGTTGATTTAGATTTTAGATTATCATAAAGATTGAATTATAGAATCACAAAAATTTTAAAAATTGTGATTTAAAATTCGCAACTTTTAGTTAAGGTCTAATTTTAAGGAAAAGTGATTTTTCAATGGTTCTTCAGGTTTCAACTGAACAGCGTATATTCATAATTTCTGAATATACTAAGAAGAAAGGAAATAGATAATTTAAATAACTTTTCCTTAAAAATTAGACCAGAACTGAGAATTCCGAATTTTCTCATTAAATTTTTGCGAATTTTCTTTGATTCTGTAATTCAATCTTTATAAATTTTTTATTTCGATAGAAATAATTTATGTATACATTTTTTCTTTACTGAACTTTTCATTTTGTAAGAAAAAGGTTTAGATGTTTGAGAGCTCTGATATACACCTTTGCTCTCTGGTTAAGAATTGGATCTCTGATATTTACCTATACTCTCTGGTTTGGATGATTGAAAGCTCTGATATATATCTATACTCTCTGGTTTGGATGATTGAAAGCTCTGATATATATCTATACTCTCTGGATTAGATGATTGAAAGCTCTGATATATATCTATACTCTCTGGATTAGATGATTGAAAGCTCTGATATATATCTATACTATGGTTTAGATGATTGAAAGCTCTGATATATATCTATACTCTCTGGATTAGATGATTGAAAGCTCTGATATATATCTATACTCTCTGGATTAGATGATTGAAAGCTCTGATATATATCTTTACTCTCTTGTTAAGAATTGGATCTCTGATATATATCTCTACTCTCTGGTTTAGATGATTGAAAGCTCTGATATATACCTCTACTCTCTGGTTTAGATGATTGAAAGCCCTGATATATACCTCTACTCTCTGGTTTAGATGATTGAAAGCTCTGATATATACCTATACTCTCTGGATTAGATGATTGAAAGCTCTGATATATACCTCTACTCTCTGGATTAGATGATTGAAAGTCCTGATATATATCTATACTCTCTGGTTTAGATGATTGAAAGCTCTGATATTTACCTCTACTCTCTGGATTAGATGATTGAAAGCTCTGATATATATCTATACTCTCTGGATTAGATTTGAAAGCTCTGATATATATCTCTACTCTCTGGATTAGATGATTGAAAGCTCTGATATTTATCAATACTCTCTGGATTAGATGATTGAAAGCTCTGATATATATCTCTACTCTCTGGATTAGGTGATTGAAAGCTCTGATATATATCTATACTCTCTGGATTAGATGATTGAAAGCTCTGATATATATCTATACTATGGTTTAGATGATTGAAAGCTCTGATATATATCTATACTCTCTGGATTAGATGATTGAAAGCTCTGATATATATCTATACTCTCTGGATTAGATGATTGAAAGCTCTGATATTTATCTATACTCTCTGGTTTAGATGATTGAAAGAAAGATGATATATCTACTAGCTTGGGGACCAAGTATTGCCTGCCTGGATAATTTACGGTGGACTAAGCCAGTGGGGTCGGTCAAATAGGCCTAGGATTAGGCCGGGTACTGTAAAAAGTCTGAACGCGCCATGGGAGTTGTCATAGTTAGCCCTCTCACTGGACTATGCCAAGAAAATTGACCCCTGTCGTATGTTATTCTGGTTAGGCCGGTGACGTACTGTACCATAGGATCGGGTCAGTACACGCTGTTATCTGGCAGGCCGGTACAAACTGGGCAGGTCCTGTTCTAATTCAAATTTACTACGGGGATAGAGTGAATTATCTTTCCATTGTAAAAATATCTCAAAAAACTGGAAATATTCAAACCAAGCTAATAACATTCATCATCCAAAATTTGAGGAAAATTAGTCTCGGGGTTTATGAGTATGATATGTCTGACAAACAAACAGGGATTATTAATATACTATACTATCTACACTCTATGGTTTAGGTGATTGAGAGAACTGGAATACGTAGAACTGATCCCAGGCTCTCAGAGTTTCTAACTCGAGTTATCAAGTAAAATATTCATTTAAACATATTGCACATTACCTTAGCATTATTCTTGACGAATATAACCTTCATTCCCAAGCAATAATTTTGTTATCATTTTTAAAAATAAAAAAAAAATTTGGCAATGTTTGTTAGAACAAGGCTTATTTGTTTAGAGTGACCGGCAGGGAGGAGTTTTAGATGTAAAATAGCATTATTGAATAAGAAGATTGCCCCACCCGTTGACAATATCAGTTTTATCATTTTACTTTCTTAATTCCAAAATAACTTAAGCTTTTCTATTAAGGACTCAATGACTTTTAACACTGTTTTAATTAAAGAACCAGTACACTGCACAAGAAACTCTTGAGAAATATACATGGTGAAGCATGCATTTTATTTTTCGTTACAAATAAAACCTAGTATTTTTGTTCGACAGTTCTGAGTTTTCATCTTTAATGCAATATGTTTGCAGGTCTAAAAAATAAGTTTGCCGCCCATAGTTTAATATACATTACAAATATGACATGACACAATCTTAAACCTAGTTTTCAATTAACATTATTCTAATATTTTAAAGACACCATGAAGTACACGGAGAGGAGCATACAACTATTAATAATCTTAATGTTGATGAATCCACTTTCTGCAGGTTAATACTTTTATCTGTTTTATTAGCCATTTTTTCTTATCTCACGTTGGTTTTTTTCTAGTTAGTGATGCTTTCACTGCATCAAACTCAATAAATCTATTAAAGGAATTGAGTCTTTGTCACAGACTCTGAAAATATAATCCCTATATTTATAAACGGCATAGACCTTAGATAGTTGAAACTATGAATTCTGTTGGATCAAAAATGAATTGAAATATGAAAAGAGTTCCAGCATCAGATTGAACAGATCTAGGTATTAGTAAATTTGAGTTAGCGGCAAAGACTTTCTATTCGATATTTTGATATATTAACTTATTTATTACGAACTATATATTCGATATTTTAATATATTAATTTATTTATTACGAACTATATATTCTCTATTTAGCCTGACCGAGAATAACCTGGTTCTGTTAAGCCAGATAATCAGGAATGATGTTATTATACCGGACTGGGAAGCATTTACTCAGGAACTCAGAACTATATTCATGGCGTAAGTAAACTAATAAATAAACCTAGTAAACCTTTTCAAACCTTTCTCCAACTATCCCGACCTAGTCAAACCTAGCTCAGTCCGTCCCAAGTTTGTCTAAACTATACCTCTCCTTTCCTAAGCTGTTCAAACCCAACTTAATCCAATCCAAACTCTTCCTAGTCCAAGGATGTCCAGGTTGTCCAAACTAGCTCAATATGATTATTTACTAATCCAACCTAGTCCTACTTGTCCCACGTCAGTCTAACCTAATTCCATGTAACACTAAAATCTTCGACTATAGGTTCTAAACAGAACTTAACATAGATTTAGACTTGTATGAAGATATCAGGACTACTCGAAGTCTAATATAATGAATCACATTAAAGTAAAGAAAAAGAAACATCTTCAAGTTTTGAAAATGTTTAAATTTTCAGATGCAAGGATAATAGGGAGGGAAAAGTAGCAGCTTATATTCCGCAGTTAGGTATATTTCAATTTTTTCTCTACATATTACATTGTAAATACAAATTATTGGCCGAGGATTTTAATTCCCACATTATGACGTTATTCTTAAAACCTGCATTTAAAAAGGGTAACAAAAATGTCAAAAATTTCTTAATTCTATTTCTTTCTTTAAAGATAAAACTAAAGATAAAGAGTTAAATCTGAAAGCCCCCCCCCCCCATATTGAATTAATTGGCAAGTAACTTTTATAAAGAACTTTTATAAAGAGCCGCAATTATTATTAAAGCAGAGAAAACTTTATCATTTTGGCCATGGCGAAAGTTTTAAAGGTTTTAAATGGAGGTTTATTTGAAACTACTTTCACTCTTAAACAACTTTATTCTTTGTTTTTATTTCTATAATTTTGTTATTCTCGATGTTAACTTAATTTATTGTTTTGTTGTTTTAGCTCGTTACCATCCTGATCTATGGGGTATATCTGTGTGTACTATAGACGGTCAGAGATTTTCTTTGGTATACATATATATATATATTCTTTATTCTATTCACCTTGTTTTTAGAGATTAAAAAATGTAAAGTAATTGCATTGAAAAACAAAAAATATAGAAACAAGTATTTAAAAAGAAAAGTATTGTAGCTCATCCTAAAAAACAAAAGTTTGTTGCTTCAAGATGCATTTTTTTACTTATTAGCGAACATTGTTTTGTAGTTAATCAATTGTTCAGTAACCTTTATTTTGGGTTTCAATCCCTTTATTTCTGTATTTGTGTATTTAACTAGGGTGATGTGAATGAACCGTTTACAATGCAGTCCTGCAGTAAACCATTTACCTATGCAGTTTGCCTCAGTGAACTTGGAAACGAGGTGAGTGACTGGAAGCATGGTCAAGGTGAAAGTTCATAAGCAGTATATTGGCAAAGGAATTGAGTTTTTGCCACAAATTCAAACTTTTGAATTCATATTTCTTTGCAACCTGATGGTGTAAACTTTTGATATTTCAAACTTAGATTAATTAGCATAACACAATTCATAGTTTGAAATATCTCCGGTCTACAATATTGGATTGCAAAGATATAGGGATTAGAATATCAGAGTTTATTACAAGAACTCAATTTCTTTCTCAGACAATTTTTGCGCAAGAGCTGGCAACCTTTGGACCACTGTGCAGGATAGGGTTTCAATTAAAATTTTAAAAAACTAAGACAATTGTAAAAAAAGGTTTCAGTAATAAAATGAACTCTTATTTTCTAATAATTTTTATCTTTTCATCCATAGACCTCTAATATGCTCAACTATGAATTCTGCTAGATCAAAAATATTAAATCATATTGCAGATAAAAGGATTAGACAATTAGTGTTTTGGGCGCTTAATCAGTTCTTGTTGGAGATGAAAAAGCACAATACTGTCGAAATATTTTTAGGGTCTTACTCGATAACAAAGTTATTATCGGGCATACTCCCCTGACTTTTTCTTAAAGAATATTCTGTGCTAGATGTAATAAGGGCCAACATGTTAAAATTTGAATATCTAATAGCTTGAAATAATTTAATGAATAAGAATAGGATGACAAGAAGAATAGAAGGAAAATTAGAAAATTCTCAAGTTCTAGAGATCCAGAAATAGCAATCAAGTTTCATTCTCACAGATTTAAATTCAAATTAATGAATACCAAACTGTATAATTTACTGAACTATGCAGATTAGTGAAATAATTAGAAAAGGAAATGAGTTTTTGCCACAAACTCAAATGTTCTAATCCCTATATTTTGGCAACCTGATTGTGAAAACCCTTGATATTACTAACTTAAACTGTTTGATTTAACAGAAGTTATAGTTGGAAATATCTAAGGTCTTCAACATTGGGTTGCAAAGATATAGAGATTAGAAAATCTAAGTTTTTGTGGGAAAGACTCAATTCCTTTTTTTCCTGAAATATCCAATTTGTAAACCTTTTTAGCTCTCTGAATGTCATATATAAATACCTGACCGACACCTGGTCTCGATTAGCCAATAGCCATATCTATTTTTTTTTTAAATTAAACGGATTCGAGTTCATGCATTGTTAAGAACTAAGAACAAAATATGAATCTCTAAAAAATTTAAAAAAACTAAAAATTTGCGTTAGGTTTGTTAATTATTTTCTGGGCAAGCAATATTGATCTGAAAAAATACAAATGGAATATGTATTCAGGTTGTGAACAAGTATATAGGACAGGAACCATCAGGAAGAAACTTCAACGATCTGGTTCTAGATCCAATCAGTAAGCAGCTTTTAAACTGTTTCATTCTTTCTTTTATTGTTTAATTGTTTCATTTTTACTCTTTTGATGTTCCTATATCATTCAGCTGTTCCTTTAATATTCCATTCATGTTCCATTCCTGTTTCATTCCTGTTCCATTCCTGTTCCATTCCTGCTTCATTCCTGTTTCATTCCTGTTCCATTCCTATTCCATTCCTATTCCATTCCTGTTCCATTCCTGTTCCATTCCTGTTCCATTCCTGTTCCATTACAGTTCCATTCCTGTTCCATTCCAAACCCTTTTTTAAATGTATGCTTGTATATTGTTGTATATTCTAGATAGACCGCATAACCCTATGTTGAATGCTGGAGCTATAATGTCCTGTGCTCTTATCCTTGAGAAAATTAATCCGCAGTAAGTTTAATATTTTCTCATTGCTGGTGTAAATTTTTTTTTGCTTATTTTCGCTTCTATTTTAATTGCTTGATTTTTATGGTTTAAAAGGCACTCCTGTATGCCGAGTCCATTAGCGCCTCATCCAATCAGGGTTCAGTCATGTGTTGGTTGTCTATTCTAAACCAATAGAAATTGCTTGGCGGTAACATCTATCTTTCTATCTATCTCATTATCCAATTAGAGATATGAATCCTTGAATCGGCGCTATCAGTAAATGGAAATATTTACTTCTACTGAAACTATAGTGAAGGTAGTTGCACGAAGGCGAGAAAAGCACACCTGCAATTATAAATTTTTAACGATCATTCATATTACTCAAATAGTCCTTTAGATTTCCTGATCAAATTGCTAAAAAGTAAAAGCGGGACTTCCCTTTCTAACAGTTTTTAGTAAAATGTTTAAATGTTTGTTTCTATTTGTCTACTGTTTGGTAAAGAATAGAGGGATAATCAGTTTAAAAGTTTTCTACTAACGATTCTTGGGAATAAATCTAATTTAAAGGACGGAAAAAGCGTAAAAAGAAAATAACATAATGAAGACGATTAGAAAAGTTAAAGTTTGTTGGATTGAAGAAGAAAAGATCCGATGGTAAACTTGTTAGGTTCCGCACAACTAGAGGAATTAGATTTAATTTAAACCATTCAATCTTTTTCTTTTCTAACAATCATGTTCTATTCAATATATAGTCTTATAATTTCCTCCTATACTATGTAAAAAGGTTTTATATAAAAAATTTAATGAAAACTAATTTTTCACTTTAATAAAGAAATGTGATTTTTGTACATATTGTTATCTATATATTTTTGTACATATTGTTATCTACATATTTTTGCACATATTGTTATCTATATTTTGCACATATTGTTAGCTATAAATTTTTGTACCTATTGTTACCCGTCAGAACATTTGGAGGAAAATGTACGCTAGATTCTGACGTGTGTATTTTGCTTAGTCAACTACACTGATCTTTGTTCTTACTAGGTGCAGTACGTGGAAAAAGGATATGNTGGGTTATAAAAAGAATTGTATTTTTTTCTTCACCTTAATTGTGCATGATAAAATGGTAAATGAAGACAATTTCTCATAACTATACAGTGCTCCCCAAAATGAAATGGTAAGTATTGACTACTTTTCAAAATATACACTACAGTGCTTCCCAAAATAAAATAATAATAAATAATAAAATAATCATTGAAAACTTCTCAAAAATATTCAGTACAGTGAAGACGAATTTTCTTTAATATGCAAACTTTTTTCAAGAAGTACTTATATTTATGAAAAGTAATCATTTTTTACCAGTAGGGAGCACTGTATATTTATGAGCAGTCGTCTATGCTTATCATATTATTTTGGAGAGCACTGTACATTTATGAAAAGTAGTTGTCTTTATTTACCATTTTATTATTTATGATTAAGGTGATGAAAAAGTTACAATTCTTTTTATAACACAAATTTAGACCACGAAATGCTAGTTTATTTTCATATCCCTTTTCCACGTACTGCACCTAATAACAAGATCAGTGTAGTTGATTAAGCTAAATACACACGTCAGAATCTAGCGTACATTTTCCTCCAAATGTCCTGACGGGTTCTTTAATATGTATATGTCTTTCAAGATACAACTTTTGCTGACTCTTAGCTATAATATTCAGTCTGTACCAATCCAGGTATGAGACTGTTGTATTCTTTAATATGTATCTACAAAATACACACGTCAGAATCTAGCGTACATTTTCCTCCAAATGTCCTATATATTTTCCACAATCATTTTAAGTCTAGACTATTAAATCAAATTAAATTTTTTTTAATCGTGACAAAAACAATAAACATGGAATATTCATGTAGAACTGATTTATTTTATTTAAAATTGCTTTTTAACTCATTAAACATGAATGAAAGGATTTTAACCAAAGGCTTTTTAAAAGTCCAAACTCAAAACCACAGAAGGTCCGTGGTATAATATAATTATGTGGTTTGCAAACAAATATACATTCTTCAAATAGGACTGTAGCTTGTGAATTAGAACTTTTTGAATTGAAGCATACTGATTTTTCATTCCATATTCATTTGTTTCATTTATAACATTATACTAAAGTTCATTTATTTGTTGCTTAAAATCTTGCAGGTTTATGATCCACAAATTCTAATGTTCTTTTCCTTTATCTTTGCATTATCATGCTGCAAACCTTAGATATTTCAAAAAACTGATTTCAGACAGCAAAAATATAATTAAAGGCTCACACCATCAGGTTGTAAAGATATGTGGATTACTTCAAGTTAGAGAGAAGCCGTTCAAATAAGAAGTTCAACTGTTTTTGCTATTTGTAAATATTGTCCGTGATCTATTATATTTTGTTTGTATATGATTACCTCTTGAACTATATGAGATATTCACTCTCTGTTTAGACAAGGGTTGGCTGAGAAGTATGATTACCTCTTGAACTATATGAAATATTCACTCTCTGTTTAGACAAGGGTTAGCTGAGAAGTATGATTACCTCTTGAACTATATGAGATGTTCACTCTCTGTTTAGACAAGGGTTGGCTGAGAAGTTTGATTACCTTTTGAACTATATGAGATATTCACTCTCTGTTTAGACAAGGGTTGGCTGAGAAGTATGATTACCTCTTGAACTATATGAAACAGCTGGCTGGTGGAGAAGGAATAGGATTCAATAACTCTGTATTCCTATCAGGTCCGGACAACCCTGTCCTAGGTATTACTCAGTTGAAAGTTTATGAATGAGAGAAGTTGTTGAACTAGGAATGCCTGGTTCAACTTTTTCTTCAGTAAGGCAGTTCATCAATATATATTTATATATATATATATAAATTGTACAGCATTCATAAATTTCCAACTTTGATAGAAAATACATAAGACTATATAGAACTATATAGGACTATATTGGACTATATAGGACTATTAGGCCTATATAGTACTATACAGGACTATATATATAGGACAGGGTTTAAAAAAGTTTTATTCATCTAAGTTGAATTTAATTATAATTAGTTTCCAACAAACTACGGGGAAATATGCTTATTTAAAGAAAGTTCAAATTAAAGTACAAGAAATTTCAAATTTTATTTCTAATAAGTATCTTACCTTGGCAGATTATACATTAACCTTATTATGACTTTGAAGTATTGCGAAGCATTTGCCCTTAGGTTTACACTTTTCATTTTTTTAGATTTCTAATAAATATAGAATTTCAAATCTTCAAAATGTTAAGCTGTTAAGTACATTCATAAAGAGGGTTGGGCAGAATCCTAATAAATAATCAGGACATCTTAGATACCTTATTTGAGTGTTTCAATGCAACTATATAGTGTGTACTTACATTCAGAATCCGAATAAAATTTCTAGTAATTTCTATGGATTTTAAATTTTTTTCCGTTGCGCGGATGGAGATATTCTGAAATCTGTATTTCTACCTATATAGAAAATAATATTTTTGGCAAACTTCTGGGTCTACCAGTAGAGTATATTATAGTAGAGTAGAGGAGTAAAATAGATAATAGAAGATGGGTTTCTTGTGATTCTCAAACTAAGATTGATTATCCATATGTTCACATTCAAACCCTTTTAAAGCCCACATACACTATTTCACTTATAAAGGATTGTAGGTGTTTTTTCTTCTTCTTTTATCCTTTTTAACCCTCTCCATCCTCTCCTCTTTCTTCTTACCCCCATTAGCTACTTCCCATCCCTCTTTTCTCTCTATCGTCTCCCCTCCTTTCCCTTCAGATACTTCTCACCTCACCCCTCTTTTCTCTTCATCTCTCTCCCCTTACCCCCTACAGCTACATTCCACACCTCTTTTCTCTCCATATCTCCTTCTGTTATCCTCTTCCGTTTCTTCTCCCCCTTCTTCCCCTTTTCTCCCCCTTCCTTCTCTCCCCCTCTCCTGGCATCTTATGAGCGTCCTTGACTGAATAAGAAAGAAAACTGTTGAATTGTCATTTTTCTTCAAAATTTAAACAAAAAGAAATCTGTTGAATACCCGTCAAGGACCATATCCCCCATATATCCATATCCTCATCATTCCTCATTTTATACTCCCACCCCCCCTTCCCCCTTCCTTCCTTCACACCTTTTTATACACTACCCTCCCCTTTCTCATCATTCATCCCTGATCACCCCCCTCTCCCCTACCCCCTCCCTAGGATAAACTTATAATCTTCAACACTTTACAACCGACTTTAGCCAGACACTCAGATACACTGACATACAGATACACTGACATACAGATACACTAACATTTGGATACACTGACATACACATACATAACACAGATATATAGATACACTGACATACATATACACAACACAGACATAAAAATACACAATACAGACATACTGATACCCTGACATACATATACACAACAAAGACATACATATATACTAACATACAAACTCGATTACTGACATGCAGATACACTGACATACAAATACATTTTTATGCAGTTCATCAGAAATATAAATTTTTGTCCTTGATATACAAAAACTAATGAGAATTTTGTCAATTACCTCCAAAAACAAAAGTGCTTTATAGTTTTAAAATGATGTCTAGGACTACACAAAAGTGAGGTATTGCTATAAATCTGAAGCAAAGGTTTGTTGCACTTTAAAGTCGACCCATTCTGTATAAAGATGCAACTTTTCATTGCTGTCTAGATCTAAGTGGACTGCAATCCTATAGTTATGATATAAGTATTGTATTTTAGAACGTGAGAGCGCTGACCGTAACTTTGCCATGGCCTACTACATGCGGGTAATAATTTATAGTTTCCTGTTCTTTCACCATTATTATATATATTTACCTCAGTTAATCTCATTCTTTTTATACTCAGGGGGGATATTTTAAATATTACATAATGTCTTAAATGTGAAAATTTAATTATTTTTATACCTAAAACGAATTGAAAACTTAAGGAAAAAATATTGAAATAGAAATCAGTTGAAAAGGTAAATCATTTTAAACTAAAATAAGTTACAATTAAGGTTTATATAATAAACATGGGAATTAAGTTCTACTATGGTTGTTTACCGTTTTAAATAATCATAATACAGTTTTTATTTATTCAACAATTAATAAATAATGCTATTGAATACTTGAAATTATGAATTGGTTTTAAATCTCTAAAATTACGACCGAAAAAAAGGCTGTTATGCTTTCAATCATGGAATAAAAAAAATCGATGGAAATTCAATTGTAATGTTTATGGATAAAAAGAAACTGTAGAAGATCTAATGTTTATTGATGAAAAATAATTCTATAATACTATACTTTATGGATGAGGGATGAAAAATGAATATTTAGGAAAATAAAAGTTTCCCTGAAGATGTGGATATTCAGGAGTGCTTAGATCTATACTTCCAGTCCTGCAGTCTAGAGGTATAAAGAGATATTTATAAATGTCGTCTTACTCGCAGAAAATAAATGCTTTGACAAATAGCGTAGTTCTCAGTCTTAAATCATGCGCACATTCAGTTAAACGATCTTGAATAAGACCTGTACTGTACAGTTAGTTCACTGTACATAATATTTATGTATTGAATGTCCATTGTCCAGGTAACTGCTGAGTCTCTGGCTGTTATGGGATCTACATTCGCTAACGGAGGAATCTGTCCAATAACTGGAGATAAGGTAGAGTGATCTCAAGCATTATTACTTTCAGTGAAAAAATTACTACTACAGGGATTCTACTAAAATTTTTTAATTGTTTATTAAAAAGATATTTCCATCTCTTTTTTGATTAGGAATTTGTTATTAAAATAAAACATTTATAGGCGCACTATTCCCTGATAGTAGAAATATAAGAAACCTATCTTGAAATGTTATAAGCAGTGTCTGGTCCATTTACTCTAGTATAGATTTAATATGAATTCTACTGATGACAATCAAGTTTATTGATCTGAAGACATTGAAAATCTATCAGGAGCATAATCCTTTTGCAAACTATAAGATTATTAAGATTTATTAATTTTAACGTGGGTTGGGTCAGTTTACAGTCCACATTCTCTTATCTATAGGAATACATTGTAAATAGGTTTTATCTAGGGTTTACTGATTTCATATCTTGTAATCAGACCATTATGGAGGGGGAAAGGACAGATAAACAGGAGTTTTCTATTAAGGACTAGACTTTAATGATCTCTATATCCCATGTGGGCACTTTTAATTTGGGGATCAAGGCTTAATCTATTAATTTAAGTTATCCCTTCGGAGTACGATTACCATGCGGGATATCAAGTAAAGATGGAATTAATCTGCAGTTTAACTAAATAACATGTAAGGATCCGAAGGCCAAATTTGGTCTTCTGCCTTAAATAGTGTTTAAATGGTATTTATAATGATTTGACAGAGATGGTTACAAGTCTACAGCTACAGGGATGAAACTCTCCATACCAATTACCATTTGAGATGTTATTAAATTTTCGTCTTTTTGTCTAAACGGTTGCAGATTGCAAAGTACGTACAAGCATCAAAATATCCTGGGAAAAAATCGGCTCGTTTAGGTTCTGAAGCCCTGTGCAGTACGTGATGTGCTGAGCCTGATGTACAGCTGCGGAATGTACAACTACAGCGGACAATTTGCTTTCAAAGTAAGCCTTAAACAACTTTTCAATTTTATTTATTTTTGGTTTACCATCTAAGTCTGGTGTATCTGGTTGTGTACTCCTGGTAATATATATATTTAGGTTGGATTACCAGCTAAGTCTGGTGTATCTGGTTTTGTACTCCTAGTAATCTATATATTTAGGTTGGATTACCAGCTAAGTCTGGTGTATCTGGTTGTGTACTGCTTGTGATCCCGAACATGATGTCTATTGCTCTGTGGTCTCCTCCTCTTGATCAGATTGGGAATTCAGTTCGGAGTCTTCAGTTCTGTGACGTAAGTAATTTTTCTAAAATTTTAACATTTTAACAATCTTCTAACATTTAAAGCGGAAAGAATGCCCGTCATTCTGCTAAATAATTAATACAGAAAAGTTGTCTAATAATATGTGAAACGATTGTTCTGCTAGGTTTTTTTTTCATGTCTTATGCCATTTTATTTTTTAAAAGATTGAATTGTCTCCATGAAATGGAAACATTGCTCACAATCTGTACATGCTGAATATTTGAAACTATCAGAATGATTTATGTGACTGAAAATTAATTTTCTTTCTTTAAATTGTGGAACAGAAAGACGGAGGTTTTAAATATATGTAGAATAAAAACATGAAACAATACAACTGTACACAGACCTATGCCTTGATATTCAAGCACCTGGTTAACTATTTGCTATATAACAGCATCAAATACATATTAGATATTTAAGCACCTGGTTAACTATTTGCTATATAACAGCATCAAATACATATTAGATTACAATAATAAGTTGTATGCACATAGTCCACAGTTGTATGGGTCTCAAAGTGTTTAGAACCCTTTAAATGTCTTAGAAATAGGGGAATTATGTATTTTATACTTAACAAATTCTTAGCCATCACTTTTTAACCGATAATGAGGGTTCATTTCAAACTCAAATATCCGAATTAATTCTTTATGAATTGATTAATTGATGCTTTTGGAGGAATTATAATTAAGATAATTAATAAAACCATAATAGTATTTAATATCAGCTTAAATTTTACTACTTTAACTAGTTTATTACTTAAACAACTTAAACTGCTGTAAAACCTTGCTTAATTCTAACTTTTAAACATTTGATTTAATCGACACTAAAAAATTTATGTATACTTAAACATTAATTTCAAATGTTAAATACCTGGACGTAAAAACAGTAAAAATATTTAATTTGCACTAGATTCCAGAATTTGCTATAAAACATTAATATAATTTCAAAATCATTTTCCTTTTTTATCTTTTATTTTTTGATGATCACATTGAACAATGTATTTTTTTCCAAAAGATTTCTGATGTAAAGTTTCAAATTATCAAGATTCTGAAAAATTATAATCATTGCAAAATAAATAAAGGGTGCTGTTTAGATAGTTGAGAAAAATATAGGTTGATTTCAAGTCACATTCCATATCGATTGTCAAGTTGTTCATTGGTATTTAATGTTTCATACCAATCATCTTTAAGTAAAGAATAGTAGTAATATGCACGACATTGAAATAGCTTGTGCTTTAGCGTCCACACTAAATTCAAAACATAAATAAATAAAATACGATCGTTCTGTTTAGATCTTGTCTGAGTCTTACTTTAATTCAAATCGTAAACAAGAAAGTTTTCTTGCTTAAAGAATATAATTTTCTTTATTTAAAATCCCCGACGGACACGCTAAACAAATGTTTGCAAACTATTTTCCTTGAAAAGAATAAAATATATTAAATTGAAGTAAATGGGGAATAAATCTAACAACTAAACTTCGAGACCACATGACAATTAAACAACACGACAATAGGCATAATGGGTAATAGACAATTAACAACTAAACTTTGAGACCACATGACAATTAAACAACACGACAATAGGCATAATAGGTAATAGACAATCAACAACTAAACTTCGAGACCAACACGACAATAGGCATAATAGGTAGTAGACAATTAACAACTAAACTTCGAGACCACATGACAATTAAACAACTTCAACTACAGTTTGCTAGAAGACAGTCAACTAATAACTAGACAGCTGACGGCTATACAACTAGACAACATGCAAATAAGAACTAGACAATAAGAAAACTAGACCTGCAGACCCCTAATAACTATATATATATTTTGATTGTCTGTCTGTACGTTTGTTTGTTTGTTTTTATCTAATAAACGTCAAAACGGCTGAACTGATCGGGCCCAAATTTTGTGTGGGACCTCACAAGACCACATGGAAAAGTTTATATGAATGCTCAATATTACAAAAAGTTGTATCCAAAAGCTTTTGATTTTTGTGAAATTTTGAAGTTAAAATAAAGGATTGGTGCTTCGCCTAGTAAAATTAAAATTAGTTATTTCTTGAAATGTTAAAGTTTTAAATTACTTTCGAACTCGATTTTAAACATATGAGATTTCTTAAGTCACTGATAGAAATGAAAACGTTTCTGATCAATAACGAAGATGATTCGAAATTACCTTTTCATTTTCGCAATCACGAAGCATTATGATTTTCAGTAAAAAAATAAGAAAAAAACATTTTCGTATGAATGTTTTCTTATAAATTTCATTATCAGGGTTTTTATAATCAATTTTCTATATAAATGTTTGTTTAGGAGCTGGTTAAAATCTTCAACTTCCATAGGTTTGATAATCTACGTAACCTCGCTACTCAGAAGATAGATCCTAGAAGAGAACCTCATGAGGTCAGTATCATTATTATTGCTCAAGCAAATCCAAATGTTCAGGCCTGGCAGATTACAATCAAATTGAACCCTAGTAAACATTTAAAATAAATTTTGATGTAACCACACTCTTCACTTCTATATTTCAGTTGAGAAGTTTAACTACGCTGACCCTTCTATTCTATATTTCAGTTTAGAAGTTTAACTACGCTGACCCTTCTATTCTATATTTTAGTTGAGAAGTTTAACTACGCTGACCCTTCTATTCTATATTTTAGTTGAGAAGTTTAACTACGCTGACCCTTCTATTCTATATTTCAGTTTAGAAGTTAAACTACGCTGACCCTTCTATTCTATATTTTAGTTGAGAAGTTTAACTACGCTGACCCTTCTATTCCATATTTTAGTTGAGAAGTTTAACTACGCTGACCCTTCTATTCTATATTTCAGTTGAGAAGTTTAACTACGCTGACCTGTCTATTCTATAATTTAGTTGAGAAGTTTAACTACGCTGACCCTTCTATTCTCAGCTGTGGCTGGAGACGTATCTTCTCTTCACAGGTAATAAAGATAGACTACACTCAGCATTTTTAAACCAACTTTACCACTTTCCAGGGGTTGTACCGAGTTTGCCAATCAATCTTTTAGAGCAATTTCCTCAAAAGTTTCCTGTTAAGTAATTTAAGTTATTTATTTGCTCAAAAAATACAAATTAAATGTATGAGGAGGAAAATTCAAAACCTTCAAAAATAGAGGCCGCGGAAATATCCCCAGTTCCAGTTAATATAAAAAATTGATTGGACATACAAACAAACAAACAAGGATTGGATATGAGTTGTGATTTCATATTTGTATATATTTATATTTAAGCACTTTTTGCATAGATTGGATATGATTTGTGACCTCATATTTGTATATATATATTTAGGCACTATCTGCAAGGAGTGGATATGACTATCTGTGACTATGATGGAAGGACTGCTCTGCATCTAGCTGCAGCTGAAGGACAAGAGCAAGCAGTAAAGTTTTTGCTTGAAACCTGTGGAGTTCCACCCAATCCTAAAGATAGGTAAAAATATCATTCTCAACAGCGTTCTCAAGAATTTTAATAATCTAAACTTGATTGTATTTGTTATTGTTTGTATATTTTGATATAATTTTCTAGTTGTCTCTTAGCATTAGCATGGAGAATTCTCCTTAATTCTCCTTCTTATCTTATTAGAGAGAATTCTCCTTAGTTCTCCTTTTTCAAATCAAAGATAATTCTCCTTAATTCTTCTATGTATACTTTCAGAGAGAATTCTTCTTAGTTCTCCTTTTTATCTCATCAGAGAGAATTCTCCGTAGTTCTGCTGTTTATCCTATCAGAGAGAATCCTCCGTAGTTCTCCTTTTTATCCTATCAGAGAGAATTCTCCGTAGTTCTCCTTTTTATCCTATCAGAGAGATTTCTCCGTAGTTATTCTTTTTATCCTATCTGAGAGAATTCTCCTTAGTTCTTCTTTGCATCCTTTCAGAGAGAATTGTCCGTAGTTCTCCTTTTTATCCTGTCAGAGAGAATTCTCCGTAGTTCTCCTTTTTATTCTATCAGAGAGAATTCTCCTTAGTTCTCCTTTTTATCCTACCAGAGGGAATTCTCCTATTCATCCTATTGAAGTGAATGTTAATTAACTTTGTCTAGTCAACACTTTTCTCTTTCACTTAATTCTTTAATCATCATAATTTTACCCCCCCCCCCTCCCCCTCTCTGCCCCTTCTTGAACCAGGTTCCCTTAGAGTTAAATTTGTTTCTATAGGAATTTATTTCTCGCTATTTAACCTAGAAATTATTAAATCTATTAAATTCTATCTTTAAACACTGAATCTTTCCTTACTAGAAATGTCGTTCATTGTTAATTCTTTATAAATATTCGTAATTATAGAATAAAAATCAGTATTTTAATATTTGTATTTGGTCCAGCATAAAGGATTTAGGTTTAATTCTTCTCCATTAAGACAAGTTGACAACCATATCATTATTCTACTGTCATGGCATTTTGCTCATTGTATTCTTTTCATTTTTAAATCAAATATGCTGTTGTTATTATTATTTTTATTGATATTAAGATTTCATAGTTATTATATAAGACTAGAAAAATTAATAACTATAAGATCTAAAATTTATTATGAATAATTATAATTATCATCACTATAACAGTTTTTAATTTTCTTATATATTAAGATGGGGACATACCCCGCAGGAGGAAGCCAACCGGTTTGGTCATGAGGGGGTCATTCATTTCTTCAAGAAGTACGTCAAGAACTAATTCATGGAGCTCAACAACAGCCTCCTGATCAACAGCCTGGCGAGCATATTCAAAGAGTTCTAAAACCTCTAGATCGTATTGAATCCTAAACTATCTGATTATATATCCGACAGAGTAAACAGATAAACAAAATATGTCGGAATTAAATGTGCACAAAGTAACCTTAAAGTTTTAATGCACAATATAATTTGGTCTTATTCATTTATTGGTCTTTTGCTCTTTACTTGTAATTTGCGCTTTCAAAGGCTTTCAAAAATTTAGTAAAAACAATTCTATAGAAGTGATCATATATAAATATAATATGTATAAAAAAAAAAAGATATATAATACAGATATAATTTCAAACATTCCCAGTGAAAATAAATGTTTAGTATTAAGTTTGGTAAAAATGATATTATATATATTATTCTACGTTTTATTGTTTATTGTTACACTGCTGCACAATTTAACAAAATATATAAATATATATAAGCATAGTTTAGATTTAAAATAGAGCAAAATTATGCATAAAATAGTTAATATTATATTATTATAAAAGTATGGCATAAAAATTTTCGAATAAAAATAATCAAAATCTAATACGAAATCTTTAATTTATTATTCGAACTATTTCAGCACTTTTAAAGTAAAACAAAAAATATAAATTATAGTAAAAAGTTAAAAAATTATTTTTCAGTTTTAGTATTTTTATTTTTTTTGGCTCAAATCTTGCTTCAATTTAAAATTCCAAGAAAAAATAAGAATGCAACAATTTAGTTTATTTATTATTTAAAGTGGAAATATTTTCAATTAGAAGATATATTTTAAATCTATATAGGTGTTGGATTGTCAGCATTTTGGACGCTGAACTCACACAATAGTTTCCTTGTATTTTAAACATTAAAAAAGAATATGTTTAGCTCTTGAATATTTTCTCCATTACTTTTAGAAAACTACTAAGGGAGGGAGGGGGTGAGGAATGGAGGTAAAAAGGCAGACGGGGGGGGGGCAAGTTAAACTTACACGGAGTCAAAAGAGGGGAAGGGGGAGTATTGAATTGTTGAACGATTTGGCAAAGAATCCGAGCTTATCTTGTAAAGAGGGATCTTTACCCTCTTGTCTAGTCATCTTAAACAAAGTTTAAACCATAGATTTACACAATACATATTGGGAAATACATATTGGACTGACGACGCGTACCGTCTCCTCCCTGGCCTGCCTGTATAGCTGCATCTCCTGTACTGTACTGTTAGCTGCGACATCGATGGCAGGGAAAGGAAGTTATGGCCATCCTCCTTGTGTTGCTATCTTTACCAGGTGTATTGTACGGCATAGCCATATAAGGGGCGATATTAACAATAAGTATTGGAACTAATTCAGTACTACATACATACATATATTGTACTCAAATACATACATTTTAAATGCGTTCCTATTCTTGTAATAAGATCATTTTCAAATATTTTATTAATTGGCTGCCAACTGGTTGTTTTAATATCAACTATTACTTTTTATACACACTTCTTTACATCATCACAACCCTTTCTTCGCGCCCATCTTCTATTTCAACATGTTCTCTTTTCATGCATTGTAAAAAAAAAAAAATTCTTGGATTTTATACAATAAAAAATTTGAAAAAAATCGAATTTTGTTAGAAACAAATTTTTGAAGATTCGATCATCCATAAACCTTCCCTGGGGTCACACGAGGTCCCACAAAAAATGTGGGCCCGATCGGTTCAGCCGTTTTGACGTTTATTGGATACAAACAAACAGATAAGACAAGCAAAGTATATATTTAGATTTATTTTGTCAATATTATGACTGGCTTAAGAATCAAATTTTTTAAAAAATATTTACATATTTATGTACGCATTCTTTCCTCTCAGTAGTTTTGTATTCGGTTTAAACTTTAAACTCTCTTCAACTTCTTTTAAAATTCCCCCTATTGACCATTCCTACTCTGTCACTCAGTTTCTACCCTGCCCTTCCAAAGCCCCTCGAACAATTCTAATATCCCTCCCTTTCTCTTCCCTTTCCACCTCCCTCCCCCCTTCCCCCTCCTTCACATGGCATTTTTTCGTCCTTCTTTCTATACACTGTTTTCTCACTTATATCTATCTACCAATCTAAACACCAACATTACTCAAACATTCTACGATATTCCTCAAATCTATATAAACTAGCAAATCTATGTAAACTAAAAAATCAAAACTAACATAATCAAAACCTTTCTGATATTCCATAAATCCATATAAACTACAGTGAAACCCTTAATAACGAATACATCGAAAGAATTCATCAAATGTCGTATTCTTTACTTTCTAATAATGGAATGTTGGAGATATTTAGTTTTTTAATTAAATGATTATGTGGAACTCTTTAAAACTGTTCCCGCATATTCATGGCTATTTATTTATTTTCGCAAATACTGAAATTTACGTCATATAGTATAAAACTCATTGAAAAATTGTCAAGACGACATTTGATAAATTATCAACAGTTTAAAGGGTAATTGTGCGAATCGTTGAACTCACACTTTATTTGAAGGGAGTGAGCGGCAATGTATGGTAGGTGAACTGAGAAAGGAGTATTGTAGAGTATTTTTTGTAGGATTAATATCAAACGTTGTTTCGGAACAGATTGAGAAAGTAAAAATCAACTCTTATCATCGGAAATAACTCATGTGATTAAGTTATTAGTTTCTGTAATGTCTCATTTTCCACAAACATTTTCTGTAGATTTCTTGAAATTTTTATTGAAAAGACGACATTGAAAGAATTTGAAGAAATCTGCGAACAAATTAATAATAAATAAGAAATTCAATATAATGATGAAAAGGTAATAATCCATTCTAACATTGATTTATTAACAAAGGAATTGAGTCTTTGGAACAAAATCAAATATTTAAACCTCAATATCTTTAGAACTCGATGTTGTAAACCTCTGATATTTCAAATTTAGATTATTTGATCTAACAGAATTCATAGTTTGAAATATCTAAGGTCTGCAACATTTGGTTCCAAAGATATAGTGATTAGAAAATTAGAGTTTGTGGCAAAGACTCAATTCCTTTCAACTGACAATCAACATTAAATTTGTTTAATTTAAATTTTTGTTACATTTTTCGTCGTTGTTATTGATTAGTTGAAAAATGGATTCTCAAAATTTTCTCTCCAGAATGAACAATGAAGGAGGATTTTAAAAATTGAATTTGCACTCTTGCTGAACAAATATGCAACGTAAAAACGTCTAATAAGTCTAAAATTAATCCTAAACAATTTCTTTACATAACTGCGTTCTCAGTTCAACTACCATACATTGCCGGTCACCCCCTTTAAAGGATATTTAAGTATACGTTGATAATACCTTTAAATCCCTTTTCCCTCCTCTATACAACCCCAACCTATCCTTGTATCACCGAACCCTTCCTCCTCTATACAACCCCAACCTATCCTTGTATCACCGAACCCTCCCTCCTCTATGCAACCCCAACCTATCCTTGTATCACCGAACCCTCCCTCCTCTATACAACCCCAACCTATCCTTGTATTACCGAACCCTCCCTCCTCTATACAACCCCAACCTATCCTTGTATCACCGAACCCTCCCTCCTCTATACAACCCCAACCTATCCTTGTATCACCGAACCCTCCCTCCTCTATACAACCCCAACCTATCCTTGTATTACCGAACCCTCTGAGTTCTCCCCTTCCCTCAATAAACAGTTTGGAAAACAATAAAATGTTGACTTGTGAGTTCTGGAGTTCCTAAACCATTCCTTTCCTCTTTTCATTACTGGAACATGTACTTGTCAACCAGACAATGATAAAGTGAGGGAGGAGGAGGAGGGAATTAGAAAGGAACAAAAGAGAAGAAGAGACGTATTCCGAGAAAGGACAATGGGAAAGAGGAAGACGTAGAAAAGAGAGAAATACAGTGAAAATATGATCACAGCTGGGAACTTTTGTGTAGGATAATCATAATCCTGATAATTTGATTTCAATATCCACTGTGGGCTCTTTTATATAGAGGATCAATGCTTAATATCTTCATTTAATTTATTCATCCCTTAAACTAAGCCCCCTTCAACCCCTGACTGGGTACGATTACCATGCGGGAAATGGAATAAAGATTATATTAATCTGCAGATTAACGAAAGATCAAGATTAAGCACTGATCCCGATATCCACAATACGAAGGTTCACAGCTCAGGAAAAACAATTGCCAAATGAAGATTCAGGAATAGAAAAAACATGAATATCATAAAAAGAATCCCTGGATGGAAGATGAAGAAAATAGATTATCAGGGAAAAGGAAGTAGGAAGTTAAAACGCATGAAAGGTATGGAGAAAGAAGTGAACATTTTTCAGAAAAGGACGAAGAATCTTAAAATATAGAAGAAAGTAAAACTTTTTAAAAGAAAATAAGAAAAAGTAAAAATTTGAAATGAAAAAGGAAGTTTAATTTGTAGATAAAATACGAAGAAATCAGAAAGGAAAAGTAAGGAAAATTTAGGAAAAATAATGGAAAAAATAGGATAAAAAAAGAAAGACACAATTGAGTACAAAAGGGAAGCATAAATCCAAGATAATATTAATAACGTGAAAAGGAAGGATGAAACTGGGATGGGAGAGAAGAAAAGATAAATTGACAGTAAAAGTAAAGTTCTAAGAATAAGGGGACACAAGCTAGGAAGATAAGTTGTCCTTAGGAATCCATTAAAAATGGTTTCTTGACTCTTGAGGAATCTTGGAGAAGGGAGGGGATTAGCAACCATCACACCCCGACCCCCTTACGGTGAATATTTGTCGACGGGCGATATAGGTGGGATTATTATCTTTAGAATTAATTGACTCCTGAGACAAATTTAGAACTTTGGTTTGAAATTCTTCTTCTATACTTTCATCAACAGCGTTGTTTGGTTTCAAGACAGAAATCAGATTCAAAATCATATCCAAACCATCATGTATATCCAACCATCCTGTATATCCAAACCATACTGTATATCCAAACAAACCTGTATATCCAACCATCCTGTATATCCAAACCATCCTGTATATCCAACCATCCTGTATATCCAACCATCTTCTATATCCAAACCATCCTGTATATTAAACCATCCTGTATATCCAACCATACTGTATATCCAACCATCCTGTATATCCAACCATACTGTATATCCAATCATCCTGTATATCCAAACCATCCTGTATATCAAAA